TCCTTTTAGCCAAGCAGTTACTGTCTTTCAGCACTCAGAAGACTTGTCACTATCTTTTCAGCTCCCACTACTGCTGTTAGGTCCAAGTTCAAGTCTTCCAGTTTTGCAAATGCCCTCAGGATGGACACAGGGAACCATACAGGGCCGAGCAACATGAGTGCCCTCGTTACTTCTCAGTTTCTGTCTTTACTCACGTATCTTTCTGATAACTCACGTATCTTTCTGATAACTTCTTACCATCTTATCAGCTTTTAAGCACTTTGAAGAGGCAAATTTTGATCTAAATGCATATAGTTAGCATTGTTTATTTCCACATTTTAATCTTTTAAAATTATTGTTGTACAGGGGGTACATTGTGACATTTACAAAAGTGATTACAATATATCATAGTTGAATTCACCCCTCCACCATTTTCCTTTATCCCTCCTCCCCCCATTTCTGGAATAGTCTTATTTTTCCATTTTCATACACAAGTACATAATATTCTCATCACAATCACCCTCCTACACCCTTTCCCTTCCCTTCCCCCCTTCCACTGGTAGCCTAGTGCCCTAGGTTGGACCTGTTTTACCTTCCTTTTCTCTATTTTTTGAAAAAAAATATATTTTTGTTTATTTAAGATAGCTATACAGGGAGTTGCCTTGTACATTTCCATGTGTATATATATATATATATCATAACCCAGATTGATTCATCCCCTCCATTTTTCTCCTTTCTACCTTAGTCCCTTTCTTATGCTGATTTCAACAGGTTTTAAAATTCTATATTCATTCTTGTATAGAGAGTACATCTACCATATTCACCTTCTTAACTTCCTTCTTTTACCCTACCTCCCTTGTTAATAACCTCCTCTTAGTGTGACCTGTTTTTCATAGTATTGCTGTATCTGTATTAGGTCTATATTCCACATATGAAAGAAATCATGCGGCCTTTGGTTTTCTCAACCTGGCTAGCATCACTTAAGATGATGTTCTCTAGTTCTATCCATTTACCTGTGAATGACAAAATTTCATTCTTTGTGGCTGAATTAAATTCTATTATATATAAATACCACATTTTCTTAATCGATTCTTCAGTACTGGGGCATCTTGGCTGTTTCCATAGCTTAGCAATTGTGAATAAATGCCACAATAAACATGAGTGTGCAGGTTCCTTTATTGTAACCTGACTTACATTCTTTCGGGTTTTTTCCTAGGTGTAGAATTGCTGGATCATATGGCAGTTCTATTTTTAGATTTTGAGGAGCCTCCATACTGTTTTCCTTAGTGCTTGTACAAATTTACATTTCCACCAGCAGTGTATGAGGGTTCCTTTTCCCCCACATCCTCGCCAACATCTGTTGTTTGTTTTCTTGATGGTCACCATTCTAACAGGAGTGAAGTGGAATCTTAACATGGTTTTGATTTTCATTTCCTTTATTGCCAGGGATATTGAGCATTTTTTCATTCATTCTTTAGCCATTGGACTTGTTCCTTTGAAAAAACTCTATTCAGTTCATTTGCCCATTTCTTCATTGGGTCATTGATTGGGGGGTTAGTTTTTTGAGCTCCTTGTTTGTTCTGGTTATTAATCTCACATTTTTAAGGACTTCTATACAAGGATCTTCATTCGTACCTTTGACAACACAGAAACCACAGTACATCCTTTCCAGGGGTAACGATGCAGCTATTAAAAGAAGTGAGGGGCTTCAATGTGCCAAAAACTATAGGGCCAGGCAGCGAGGCACTTACTCTGCTGAACTCAAGATGACATCAGATGTGCAATACACCTTTATTAGTACCATTTATTTCCTTTAAGTCACAGCAGGTTTTATAACTCAACTTTTGTATGTATCTAAAATAAAGAAAAGGGATTCCTAATCCAACATTTTCTACAGCAGAAGTAACAAAAAGTCTCAAATACAGATATAGGTAAAAATTAGAGGCTGTTTTCAAGTGTAAATATCTTTGTGAAACTAAGTATCTGTCAGATTTGAAATATGTCTCTAATTTTAAGATTGTTCCATGATTTAAATAGAATTAATTTCTGAAAAGTAAGCTTAGTAAACTCTATAAAGTATAATAAAACTAGAAAATCATTTAAAAATTCCCTATGAATTCTATTCATATAATATATTCATAAAAGCATCTATTTTGAGAAAATAATTTCCACATACCTTTTTTGTTTTGGGACCCTAAAAGTTGGAAAACAAAAGAATTGATAAAATTTTTAAAGAAGTCAGATACTTTTAATTAAAGTACTATGATTATGTAAGATATTAAAGTTAGGAACATGGGTAAAAGGCATAGGAACTTTTCTGTATATATAAATTTATTCTAAATAAAAAGGCTGTTAAGAAAAGATTCAGGCAAAACTACAAGTATGTACAGGAAAATCTGTGTTAGTGACTCCAGAAGCATCTTTTACAACTAGGTTTAACACTATGTCTGATAACAATTGTAAGACTAACAAATGGGCCTAAGTGACCCCATCTTGTATTTGGACCCCATTTTGTGCAGGCTCCCAGCTAACCTTGCTTATGTTTTTCAGGCCAGTCCTGGTAGTAACTTCTCTGTTCTACTCTGAGAAACTCCAGAACCCAGAGGTCTTACAGATGCATCTCCCAAACCACATACATGGGTCTAACCAGGTCATTCACCTGCCATCTGTCAAAGGGACCACTGGCTACCCCTTCCATGTCCACCAGTTCCTACAACCCCTGCCTCAAAGTAATCACCCCACGTGGGGCCTGTACTGCATATGGAGTCTGACCCCTTTTCTCCCTTGGAAAGTGACTAAAACTTTGCCTCTGCTTTAACTGTGGCCTTTATGAAAATTTTCACACAAGATTATACACTTTACATATTTGAAGATCGACACACAGGATACACTGGTTCAAACCCTAGATTATCACTACTAAATATGAATGCTAAAATGAACACACATTAGAACACATCTTCTTGAAAAATGCATGTATTTCACTGATTCTTTCAGCGGATATTCATGATTTGCACAGACAGCATTCTAAAGTGCTGGAGAGAATTATGGAGGATTAGTGATTTCCTCTATCATGACTTTTACAAGTGGGTTCCATTATTACTAGCACATTTGCTTTTGTGATATTAGCATACTTCTCTCTTGAAACAAGCACTGTACCAGACTGTGCCAATAGCACCAGCCCCGCTCACATATTTTAAAGATGGACAAATTATCACCTCTCATTAGAGCGTCCATGAAGCAGGTTTGAGGTAAGTACATCTCCATGCCCCTCCTCTAATCACAAGAGCCTTATATAACAAAGCTATTCTCAAAGTTCAGAGGGCTTGGAGTCATCTGGCAAGCTCTTTTGAGAAGTGCACATGTGTTCACTCCCTTCCATTCTCACATTATCTATCATTCAGTAGATGTGGTCAGTTGAATTATGCCTTTTCAAAATTCATATACTGACATCTTAACTCCTGCTATCTCAGAATTTGACCTATTGGAAACAGGTCACTGGTGACTTAGTTAATAAAAATAAGATGAGGTCATACTAATAGGGTGGGCCTCTGATCCAATATGCCTGGCATCTATGAACAGAAGAAACTTGGAAGAGACACACAGGAAGGACAAGTGAGGAAGGAGGTTGTGCAGAGAGGTCTGCATGCATCCCTCCCTCCCTGCTGGCACCTTGATCTTATGGGCTCACACAGTAAGTTTCTATTTTTTAGACCACTGCACTACAAAACCAATACAGTAGATTTGGAGTTGAGTGGGGCCCTGAAGTCAGTATTTTAACAAGTACTCCAGGTGCATTAGAAATATCAGCTCCTCAGGCCACACTTTGAGAAACAGATGGATGATCTAGGAAGAAGAAACTCAAATACATGTAAGATCAGACAGGTGCCTATTGTTCTTTGAATTTACCCCCCAGTTTTAAGTTGACTTAGGGCCCATTTGCATTCTGATAGGAATGCTCTCCACTACCTCCTTCTTCCCACCCCTTGCGGAAAACCCAGATTGATACTCTAAAACATGTGAAAAGTCCACTTTCCCTTCTCAGCCTCCCTCCCTCATCTAATCATTCCTGTTTTTCGGCTGTTACAGTTGCAAGGCATTGCGGTTACTTTGTTCATCTGCCTCCCTGGCCCGGTTGTCATTTCCACCTTTGTAACTTTGGCTTCCAGCCCAGGGCCAAACACCAACACCTCCTCCATATTTCCCCTTCTTTAACGCATTAAATAATGAAGAAATCGCATTCCCCACTTCCTCTTATTTCATCTTAGATCTCTTGGTGGAAATCACATCTAAAAAAACGGGACAAGATACCACATGTGGCATTAGCGACACGTTGTTTTGTCCCCTGGGTGAAGACAAAAACAAAATGAGCTTGGTTATCTTTAATTGACACAGGTCGAGTACCTTGAATCACGAAACAATTTGTGTTCTTACAACAGGGCGCATAAAATAACTTTTTAAAGCAGAGTAAATGACATTAGCTTTTCATTAGCTGATGAGGAAGTATAAACAAATGTGTGCCAAGTTACAAAAAGAGTCACCGAGCAGGCACATCTGTCACTATGGGAGTTGGGACCGAGTTTTAAGGGTGGCGACACGCGACACTGGGGTACCATGTTACCGTCCTGCCATCTCCCGTTTGTTCATTTCCCCCCTCACCATGGGGAGCCGGACAGGAGCGTCACCTTCAGCCAAGTCGCAGCACAGTTGCGAGGACAAATGCTCCGAGGTTGTCAGGACGACAGGCCCCGCCCACTGCGCCCTCAGCGTTTGGTGCAGACCCGCCCACGCCAGCCCGCGCAGTCGTATTGGAAATCTTCCAGTATACGCTCCGCCCTCCGCCGCTAATTGGCTATCCCCACAGCCCCGCCCCACGTCGCGGTCGACTTCTGGAGACGTGGACGCCGTCGGAGGCTTTTACGTCTGCGGCGTGCCGGAAAGTGCTCTGTTCGGTGCAGCCGTCCGGGCGCGTTGTGGCTTTCCGGAGCTGCGGTTCTGCCGGTGGTGAGGTGGCTGTGGCGAGGACTGCGGGGTGTGGGGGTCTGCGACATGGCAGCCTCTCCCTCGGCTGAAATAGTTGGGGCGACTCTTTCTGGACGGGTGGAGAAGGAAAGGGGCCGCGGCCCCGATGGACGGACGCCCGGGTGGTTCGGGGCTCGTCTGCTCTGAAGGTAGAAGGCGTTGGCTCCAGGACGCTTGCAGGTCGGGAGTGCAAAGTCTTCTCTGCGCATGATTCTGTTTACCTTCCGTGCAAAATGCCGCCGCCTTCCTGGGCAGCCGGCTCCCGACCTGCAACGGTTGACGGGGTTCTCTGGGTAAAAGGTGGCGGGCCGGGGCGGCCTGCGGGGTCCAGGGTCATGGGACCTGGTGGCACCACCTTCAAAACGTCACCCAACCCCCGTTGGCACTTTCGACCAAGGTGAAACGGGAAGAAACTTGTGCTGCTGTTGTTTTCCCAAGCCCGGCCGACTTCTCTGTGACTTTTTTTTTTTTTTTTTTGGGTGGGATGAGATTTGAACTCAGGCTTCACATTTGCCCAGCCGCCTGAACCCCACCTCCCGTCTATTTTGCCCTACTTATTTTGGAGATGGGGTTTCGAGCACTGTTTACCTTGGCTGGCCTCGAACTGCAATCCCCATGATCTCAGCCTCCCAAGTAGCTGGGATTACAGGGTGAGCCACCGACGTCTGACTTGACTTCAGGCCCTTTCTGAGCCTGTTTTAGCATGACAGGTATTTTTGAATGTTGGTAGTGTTCCTCATCTCTGAATTCCAACTTTATAGTGCTTTGACCCTCCCAACGTCGTTGACTAGATGTGCTGTTGATAAAGCATTACACTTTGTGGGTTAAAATGTCATTGTCCCCATGTGAATCTGGTTGTGTAACAGACATCTCACCTCCTTGCAAACGCTGGAAGCAAGATGAAAACATTTTACTGTGCACCCTCATAGAAAGCCTAATTTAGTTTACCATAGTTATTTAGTGTGAAAGTCAGCCTTTGTATTGAATTAATTTTTCAGCAAAGCTGGTATTTCATGAAACAAAAACCCTAGTGAGCTCTAACTAGGATTGTGGGATGATACAATGTTAATCTCAAATTACTTTAAAATGGTGGCGGGCCTCCAGAAAGCACTCACTCAAACTCGCACGATGAACCTCCCTCGTAGGACAGAGGAATTAGGTGATGTGATAAGAGTCCTACAGTGTACTGTGCTGCAGGGGTTATATCCGAGAGCTTTATCCTGCAGCACTCCTTGGTAAGGTCTGTTTTGTAGTATCTCTATCTTCAGACATGTGAGGTCCCTACTTCTAAACACATGTGCATCTCTGAACTCACAGAATCAGCACCTAGGCCTAGACCAAGCTGTATGCCAGTCTTTAGGGGCACAGTCTTGCCACCTACCTTTGATTATATGTAGTCTGGCACTGGTGCTGTGGTGTAACTGTGTGACACTTTCTGGGCTCTACTAGTCATTTATGCCTTATCTGTTGAGGCCCTCTGGTAGAAGCCACTGACAACACTGGACTTCCTTTTTTGTTTTTTTTGCTAGCATTCCTTCAGCTTTTATTGTCATCTGAACTTAATGGGAATGATTAGCAATTTTGGGAACCATTACACCTAGTCCTAGTAAGTGACAATGTCCTAGTAAGATGACAGCTCTCTGTTAACTCAGGACTGAAGTGCAGTCTTAATTCCTTAGCCCATTCACTAAAAATAATTACTCTGTGGGACTAGACCTCCTCCTCGCCTGCCACACGACCCAAGTTCTCAGAACAGTGGGTGCTTCTCTTGGGCCCTCTTTCAGCTTTGATAACTTCCAGAATTCATGCAAGGCATTGTAGCCCCGGTTCCTGCTGCACTGAAACTGTTTCTTAAATTGGAAACCCAAGGAGACCTACTTCTCCCAGTGCTAAAATAAACCTAAATACCTGAAGGTCAGGTTGTACAAGAATGACAAACTGCCGTAAATTGTATAAATTAACATCACAGAAGCTAAATTTATCTTGGCCACACTAGCTATATTTTTGCTAGGCAAGGTTTTTTTGCTTTTTTGTGTTACTGGGGTTTGAACTCAGGGCTTTGCACTTGTTATACAGGCACTCTTGAACCACACCCCTTTGGTTATTTTTGAGCTTTTTGCCCTGTCCGGCCTGGACCACAATCCTTTTTTTATGCTTTACCTCTGTAGTTGGGGTGACAGGTTAAGCACCACCAAGCCCAGCTCTTGATTGAGTTGCGATCTTTTGAACTTCCCTCCCCCTGCTGGCCTTGAACTGTGATCCTTCCATTGTAAGTCTCCTGAGTAGTTAGGATTACAGGCATAAGCTTAGGCAAAGCTTCTATTATTTGTAAGAAGATCAGCAACCTACAGAGGACCTTTTAAGTTAGGCCCTAAAAGCTTTCACACATTACAGATTATGAATTACGTGAAGCTGCTCATTGTCAGGCATTAAACAGGCTATAATTTGCTATGTGAAATTACATCTATGTAGAATTAACTTTCAATGATTTAAAAACCAAGTCATTCTTGATAATAGACCTCACTGGCAATGACAGCCAAAAAAAAGTTTTAAATGAATTAGTGTAGTTGTTAATAGTGGGTTAAATACACCCATCTCATTCCCCTCCAGAATTGCACTAAATCTTTATTAAAGGGAAATGAAAATAAGTTGGAAAAATGGGAGCAGTATGGCAGCCATACACCTGAGGTACGAAATGGATGGGTGACTGAGGTGCCAGCCCACTTCACACCCAGAACTTGCAAGGCACTGGAACAGGCCTAGATGTGAGGTTGGAGAGGGAATTAGAGATGTGAGAGCTGGCTCTGTGGAAGGACACCCTGTGAAAGCATGGGTCCCCTGCCTTTCAGATTAGGAGAGATGTGGATTTTGTCAAAGTACCCCAAAGGGAAGGGGGCACACAAGGTCATGAGAGTCCATATACCACCTTACCAGGGACTGAACTAAAAATAAAGATGCATGGGAGGTCTTAAATTACTCAGCACTATTATTATTACTATTAGACCTGGTCTTTGAACCAGGGTCGTGCTCTGTAGTCCATCCTGGCCTTAAACCATGATCTTCCTGCCTCAGCCTTCTGAGTGCTGGGATTACAGACAGGAACCTGTAATGAAGTGCACACTCAGTTCAGCACAATTTATTTTTTAATCTGTGTTTTCCACGAGTTAAATATAAAATAACCTTTAAAATTGATGTAAAAAGCTACTTAAAAACATAAGTTGCTCCCTGTGTGACTTTCAGAATCATTCAGTCCAGAAGCCGTAGGTGGTGCTGAGCAAGGAAGGCCTCTGGGAAGGGAGGTGGAGGGCATGCAGAGGCACCAGCAGGGTACAGAGCCCTGTGCAGTGAACAGGGCTCTCGGGGAGAGTTCGTGCCTGCAGCAGCCTTGTATGAGGCACAATTCTTTGTGTACAGAGGGTGTTAGCACAGGTTATTGAAGCTGCAACAGGGCGAGACTGTACCAAGGAGGAAGAAAAGTGGTGCAGAATGAACTGTCTGAGCCCAGGGAGGGGAGGGGAGAAGGGGTAGTGGGAAGAGGGTGAGTGTGCAAGGGTGGCAGAGCTTGGTAGAGAGCATGTTCTGAGAAGCAGCAGTGACAGGATCTGGTGATGGTGGAAAGGATGACAATCCAGAGGTGAATTTGAGGATAATGGGAGCCAGGCTTCTCACTGCTGGACAAGTGTTCAGGCTGGAGAGGAACTAAACTGACAATAAACCCCATAGTGTTGGATTGAAAGTTGTGCGATTGGGTGGAGCTCGCATTCAAGTGGATGTGTGTACACAGCACATCTGTGCATACATCTGCAACTTGTTCACGTTAAGAGGTCCTGGGAACAGTGACGGCACCCTGGAATGAGCCCATCCAGTACCTGCATCTTCCTTTTTAAGATATTCTATTTACACTCCCCACTAAAACAACTAGGTTCCTTGAAGTAGTTTTAATTGCGGCGCACACACCAGCCACAATGAAATTCATGGGAATTGTGTCACTCTGTTAGAAGCCTGTGATTTAATCTCTACAACTACAAGATAAGTATTTTCTAGGTTAGGTGAATGGGCCTTCTAAGGGGCCTCCTCTCTGATGCATTAGCAAGTGACACAAAAGAAGCATGATCTAAGCTATGGACACCCTTGTAAGTGGTTCATTTGGCCTCTTCACCAGTCTGTCTGTCTACCATTAATCTTCAACTTGCTTAACTCACACATCCAGTTTATTGTAGTTTTTACTCTTTGTCTGGAGAGTACCCTTCTAGATTTGGACTCTAAATGACTTCCAAGTGTATCTGACCTTGCCTAGAGGGCAGAATGAAGACAGTTCTTTTGATAAAAAACTGAGGCTCAGAAAAGTTAAGTAACCTGTCCAACACCTACACAGGCTGGGATTTTAATCTCGGTCTAATTCATTCCACTGTGGCATAAAGAGGTACACTTATCTATGAGAACCACGTTTCTCTCTCATGACTGTTTCTTACAGAGGACATGCCACAGTCACCTTGTGTGCTTATCATGTCTCCCTTAGGAAACGTTAGTTCTGTAAGAGTAGGTTGTCTTACCTGATATGTTCATAGCTATGACCCAGTGCCTGGAGTGTAAAATTACTCAACTATTTATCAAGTAAATGTTAAAAAAGAGGCTACCATTTCCCAGTGTGTAAGGTTTTTTTTTCTTGATGCTTTTTTAAAAGATTACAATGGAGTTATTTGCAAAAAACCACAAATCTTCCTTTTCTTTAGGTATGTTTATAAAAGTGGATTAGTTTCCATGTTAAATGAAAATGGCCAATTCTCTAAGAGCAGAAGTACTGAATCTTTATAAGAATGTAAGTAATGATGTTGTCAGTTTTATAAAGCTGCTGTTCTATGACAGACTGTTAAGAAACACATAATCTTTCTTTTTAAGCTGCTGTATCTTGGACGGGACTATCCAAAAGGAGCAGACTATTTTAAAAGACGTTTGAAGAATGTCTTCCTTAAAAACAAAGACGTGAAGGACCCAGAGCAGATCAAGGAGCTTATTGAACGAGGCGAATTTGTAATGAAAGAGCTGGAAGCCTTATACTTCCTCAGGAAATACAGAGCTATGAAGCAACGCTATTACTCAGATACCAACAAAACTAACTGATCAGTACTACTGTGATGTGGCTGAAAATCAGTACCAGCTGTTTGTGTACACCAAATATTATAAAGTAATTCTAACTTAAAATACACATTTTATAAAAAACACCTGCGCTTTCCTACTGAACTAAAACACACATGCTCCAAGCTCACTGACACAACCCTTTATGCTCAGGTTTTATTATTAAAATCCTAAGTTAGCTATACTACCCATTATAAATTAATGAGCACCCAATTTTGAAAGAAAATACAGTAAGCTTGATTTTATAACTTAATGCTTTAGCTAGTTTCTCCGTTTTACTGTAAAGAATAACATTTAGTGCGTATTTCATGAACAAAACTTCTTACACATTTCCTTTTAACTTTTGGAGTGCCTTTATTTTTTGCTTAATTTGGTACATTAAGGCAAAACATAGCTAGCCCCTAGTGGTGATTTAATGCAGTTACAGAAGTCACACGTGTGAAGGCCACAAACAGCTTGCTTGTGATCAGATAGTAGCTACTACATTTCCATTAGACTTTGCTGCTGGCTCCTTTTGGGTATTAAGTCATCTGTTGTGCATCAACTAGCTTCTTTCATAAAAAGTAATACCAACTTTTTGTCATAAGAGGTTTGTTTTGCATCTACTTTTAAGTGAGATAACATGGAAGTGGACTAGACCCTAACATGGTTCTAAGTTTAAGCAACACTTTTTATATTATTGTTCTGAACATTTTCAACATGAGTTGCAAAAGAAGATTCAGGGGTATGCTTTCATGTCTGTAGCTTACAAAGTATTCCCTGGCAATTACAGAGCAGATGTCTCCATTTTCCATCAAGAAATGCACAGTGCCAGGGCTGGGCAGTAGCTCAGTGGCAGAGCTTGCCTAACACACAAGGCTGTGCTTGACTCAGCACCCCCAGAAGAAAAGATAAAGGTTAAACTTAAAAAAGGAATACACACTATCAGTCACCATAACTATTTTTATTACATTACAATAATTAGGAGCAGTACAGTTCATGACAAAAATATTACAAATTTCAGATCACTTCACAGCACATACTCCTATAAACATTTAAAAGTTAATTTCAATTAAAAGTGGTCATTTTAAAATCCAATGTTTGACATGACCAACATTCCCAGGTCAGCGCAACCAAATTCTGGGAACAACTGGAGCACACTGCGTATGTCCACAGAAAGAAAGCACAATGTACAAGTGTGCATGTTCCGTTTACACTGTACAAAAATAGTAAAATACATTCCAGGGAAACATGTTACATTAAGAAACAGTACTAGTAAGAAATTGGCACTCAAAGGAAAAATGCATTAAGTATTTTCAACATGAAAACAAGACAGTGGGACTGGAAACTCAGGTAAAACATTTGTAACCCATTTAGCTCTACTAGGGGTGGGGCCTCTGAAATCAGCGTTTCTTCAGATGACTTAATTTTTCCTACATTCACCTAAAATGATCCCAAACAGGCACTTGAAACTATTAAACTAAAACACAAGTCTTAATCTATTATAAGAACTAATGCATATTTTCAGAAGGAATTTTCATTTTTGACAATTTATAGCTACCAGTTGTGCCATTCAATTTCTCAATGCAGAATCCATGCTACCCAATATAAACACAGAAGTTATTAAATACAAATTCAGTTTTAAAGTAACTGCTGGTTTAAAGAAAAACATAACTACATAATTATCAAGAAATTACTACTTTTTGACAAATGAAAATGACGTCAGATAAAAAACTTCCAAATATGTTGTTTCGAGGAAAAATGGTCAGGAAAAAAACCTCACTGGAATACAAATGAGATGAGCGTGCAAATGAACTCCACAAGCCTCCGGAAGCTGCTGTGTATATTGGGACAAAACTGCAGTGTGGCAGGTCCTGAGGTCCTCTGCAGTGCAACCCAGACTCCTGACAACATTCCCTCCAGTGTTATGTACATATCGGCTGTGTTCCTCCCACAAACCTGCTGACTACATGACTTAGCGCTGTCTCCAGCTTCACCAAGGGTCTTACTTTCAAGGCTGTAGTAATGAGATAACACTAAAGCTTCTAAGATTTTCCTTTAAAAATCTACAAAAACAAACCTTTTGTTAACAAAAGGTTCACACAGGTCAGAATTCACATAATTGTTACCTTAAAAACTGCTCAGCAACATTAAAAATCCCAGTCCTAAATTCCCCATCATGCACTGCAGTTCCTGAAGCATGCCTGTTTCCTTCTTTATAAAAACAGGAGGGGCACTGCACAAGACTGGTAGCTACCTAGAGGACGCGCCTTAAGTGGTTTGGGAAAGCATTTCAGAAATCACTGACTTTTGGCAGTTTACCTCTATAGATTGGCTCAGGCCCTGTTTACTCATACCCAAATAAAACATTTTAGAAGCCAATGTTCAATTTTCAAAAGTCTTTTAATTATTTACACAAAAAGAAAACTAGAATATAGGGGATTTTTACTCTTCTAAAGAGCTGCACTGGAATCAGCAAAACAATTATTTTAGGGCTGGGGATGTAACTCAGTGGTAGTGATTGCCTAGCACATCCAGGGCCCTGAGTTCAATCACCAGCACAATAAACAACTTTTGTAGAACTAGAAGCCTTGGAGACCAGACTCCCTCTGCGTTATACCATGTGCCCAAGTGCCTTACTAAGACCAGTTAGAGCAGTACTTACACAGATGGGACACCATTTTCCTAGTGCCTTATGTAGTATTAGCATATGACAGGCATTGGATTGTGCTTTGAAATGAATTTAGCAGTACCTTCCATGGTAAGAAAATTTTACATATGGAAACAATGGAATGTGTCGCTGGGATGAGAACTAGTCCTGCATGCAGAGTTCAGCACTGCCTTAGGAAATTCTCCTTCCAGTGGACAGGTCACACATGTTTGAAAATTCCTTACTGAAGTCACCAATGGACTGGACAGAGATGCAGTTTAAAGGCTCAAGATTAAACTACAAAAGCAACCACCTGAAAATTAGCCATTAGCTCAAATCCATTGTGATACTTGTCAGATTACTTTAAGCCCCGAGGAAGTAAAATGTGGAGAATTTTACCGTCCCTAGGTGGACAGCCTTCAAGAGCTATTAGCAGCAGCAGATTTGAGATGGGGGAATTCTGAACCTGCACTGTCATGGGGCATGTGGAAGGGAGGCGGGCGAGATGGCGTTTAAAGAGGGAGTCCTGCAGCTGCAGTGCGGGTATTCAAATACAAACCTCACCTCTTGGATAGTGCTGCCCAAGACCAGCACTAGAGATGTGAGACAGGTAAAAAGTTAGGAAATGCGCCAAGCTCGACAGCCTGTCTTTATGTAACTGCATATAAGTCACATAGTTGTAAAGTTAAGAGACAGCCTTTGAGATAATTCTCTTAGCAGGAGTGGACAGTGATTTGCCCAAAATCAGTTCTAAAGGACACACACTGGAATCTAAGTCACCTTGGCCAGTCCTTGACCAGTGATGTTTTCATCTCACCATACCATCTCAATTCAGGTTTTTAAAGTAACATTTTAAATGCACTCAAAGACTTGTTTTCATTAATGTTAATTCATCTGTTTTTTAAATATTAGATATTCTTAAATATGGATCAGACTTGAAAAGTGTTTATGAAATATTAATTTAGCCAGTGTTGAGAACTAGCCAAACCTAGAGTTTGAAACTTTCTTATTGTTCCAAAAAAAAAAAAAAAAAAAAGGGCTCTTCTTATACTCTCCTACCCCCCCAATCTCATTTATAGTTAAAATAATTTTTTAGATTCTATTTTTTTAAAAAGCGATGGTCTTTTTCCAGTAGGACCACCACATAGTAAGAACGCATCTTGTTGAGCTATTCAAACTCCTGCTCCCCACTGCACAACACTGGGTGACCATGGGGGTTGCAGCCTGTGCACGAAACTCAGTGAAGCTCAAAGGCTCACATAAGGTCTGGCCTTGCAACCTTGCTCTCCTCAACCATATCTGAACTGTCACTGGATCAAATCATCTTCAATATCATTACCAAAATTAAAGCTGTTTTTAAAAGACCAAGGGTCAAAAAAGATGAAGTTATGTTAAGAAAGTGCAAGCTGACCTAAGTGGACTCTAGTTAATTTCTATGGGAATTTTTATACACGTTAAAATTGTTTTGGTTATTAAAAAAACCTGGAAACATGGGCATAGAGCCCCAAATGGTTACTATGATCCTGACTTCACACTGGGTCTGCCCTAACAGGAAGAGCTGTTAGAATCTTACAGTAATTTACCTAATGTAGAAAGTCAATGGCCTTTTAACATTTTCCACTCATTTTTTTTCCACTTTTTTCCTTTTAATAGAAAAAATATATTTTTGGGAGAGTGACCATGACTAATAAGACAAAGAGGGAGAAAGCCTCTCAATTCAGCAAGGATGACAGCAACAAGACATGACACTAGATGATCAGCAGGAAGCCCATGGTTTGTGACCCATGATGTTTCTGTAACCAACACTAAGGTCCCAACCTGAGCCACAGTTCCTCCTCAGCCCCCGCCAGGACTCAATGAAACATGGCAGTGATTCAGAAGCGCGTCGTTCTGTTTCACGGGCACTCACAGCTGGTGAGAAGGTCAGGAGCTAATCAGCTATACCCACCAAAACCCGAGACAGAGAGCTCGGGAATCGGTTTTCTTCACAGGCGTCGCTAGTTCAAAACCAAAATTCAGGGAATACTGGCACTTAGAGGACAAAGTTTCCACTGTCATTTTGAAATAAGCATTTTAAGATAAAAGCTAACAGTTTGCGTGAAACAGGAAAAAAATTAAGTAATGCTAAAACAAATGCTAATAATTTAGTGTAATGTACAAAAATTACCACTTTTACTTAAGTATGCCTTAAGAAAAAGTATAAATTGTATTTACATAATTACACACTTTGTCTTTGACTTCTTTTTCTTCTTTTTACCATCTTTGCTCATTTTTTCTTTATGTTTTCGAATTTCTCGAACTAATGTATAGAAGGCATCATCAACACCCTGAAATTGAAAAAAAGTATTAAAATGTGAGAATTTCCATGTATGGCTCGAGGCACACATGATAGAGCTCCATCGCTGATGACATTAATATTGCAGAAGTCAACGAGGACATGTTACATCTCTTTTCAGGCACTTGAATATATCAGAGTTTTAGGATTCTTCATTATTGTCTTCCTGGGTATTCTAACAACTTTCTAAAAGGAACTCTGATTTTCACAACAGGCAGTAATCACTGGTACAGAATCTTACACAGATTAACAAATGACTTTTTCCCAGGAGTACTTAGTTTGCTACTAATTTTCTGTACTGGTAAACCTCGTCACCCAAATGCAAAAGCCTGTCTGCGTCCCAAGAGTCTGTGCTTATCATCCAGAGCTCCTGGACTTTAGATAAAAAGCCATGCAGACCTAAAGTGCTTTCAGAGCTTCATAAGTCATCACAGTGACCACATCTGAGCTCGGTTCTACACTTACATAAGATCCTCTGGATTTAAATGATTTACTGAGTAAACGGTATACACACGTTTTTCCGTTTTGGTAATATATGTTATTAATTTCAATTCATGTACTTACCACTAGGGAAGAGGTTTAAAGTAACCTCAACAAAAGATACACACTGCTTTGACGTGGCACCGGTGGCTCATGCCTGTAATCCTAGCTACTCAGGAGGATCAAGTCTCAAAGTCACACTGGCAAATAGTTCTTGAGACTCTATCTCAAAAAAACTCATAAAAAAGGGCTGATGGAGTGGCTCATAGTGTAAACCCAATGCCATCAAAAAAAAAAAAAAAAGCTAGACTGCTTTGAAAACTCGAGTACCTGTGATTTACGGAGAAAGGCCAAAATCATCCGAACGGTGGTAAGGCTCACCACTTTGAAGACACTCCCATTTTACTACTTTAGTTTCTGTTTATTATATTAGATCCCATACTCAAAATTTGCCATATCAATGCCTGTCTTCAAAGAACTTCCAGTATTTGGTCACTGAGATCTACATCTATTTGTGACCAAAGAAAGGTGTCTACATCAGGTTGTGGATAAAAATGATTTTAAATCAGAATAATTTCAACCCAACAGAACACAATATGCAAAGTGGCTGCCTACAGAGCAGTACATTTTAACCCTCCAATGCATAAAGTCAATATATATATAAGTCAATTCTTGCCACATCTCTGTTAAAAAGCAAATTAAACATACAAGCAAAAAACAAAGAAAAAATTTAATTCTCTATTTTAAATCTGCTCAACTTACCAATAATGCTTCCAAACCTAGCCACTAGAGGGTGTGTGAGTGACAAACATCTAAGAATGAAGTGTGTAATTCAAGCCACTTTGTAAGTTTTAGGTTTACTCATTGTAATCATCATGTCGAACATGGTAATTGAACAAATGTTGTGATGTCTAATTAAATACATTATATTATCTTAAAAATAATTTAAAATTTTAAGTGATAGTATTTCTCCTTTATTCCATCACTAACATCTTCAACAGTGAATTTCAAATTAACAATTCAAAGCATTTTCTTTCAAGTTACCTAAACCAGTCTTCATGACAGATCAGAAAAGCATGACTGGTACTTTACGAAGATGAACACAGACTGGCAAGGAGAGGTTTGCCTGTGTTTGTTTGGTACAGGATAAACCAGCGCCACTGAGGAATACTAGTGGGTACTGTTTCCAGTTGATCCCTCACCGGCACTCAGGGAGGCCCCACTTTCTGAATCTCACTCACAAAGGAGAATGGAAAAGTGATTTTATCAACACTACTTCAAGGCTTAATTACAAATATGTCAAAACTATGTGTGACTCACCGACACTTTAGAATCACACCCTTAGATGTGAGGCATCTAAATCCTTTATCCTTCACGAAGCACCTTTAATCACACATGCTCGTGTAGTCTACTCGGTACACCTACTTTTATGATGAAGGAAAATGCCCTCGTAAAAAGGTGAAGCAGAAAAATGAAAGATGAGATGGACAGAGAAGACACGTCCAGGAGGGACAGTACACAAACAAAGAGGCCAGCAGAGAATGGGAGTAAAATTCAAAACTCAACTAAAATTCAAAACTTTGGACTCATGGTGCACTGAGGTGCCCTAGATAACTGCAATGGTTAGGGAAATGTCACAAGTTACCTAAATGAGCAGTGACCATCTCCTCTTCACGTGGCAAATGATCACCCTAATATGCTCATGTAAAAGACAAAAGCAGTACCTTGCTATTTTTGTTTAAATCTATCCTGTTTCAGGACTAAGGAAAACTGATCTGTATCTACTTAACACTGTCTAATATAATTTTTTAAATCTTTTTACCTAACTTGAAGACCTATAAAAGTTAGCAAGTACATTTTCTTTATACAAGTGCTACCCCTGTCCATTAAAAACATGAGGATTCATTTTTTTGGCATTCACAGTATGGTCACCATGAGAATATGCAGAAGTTTTAGGATAGTAGGTGTTTCTGCCTTTGTTTTGAATACAAAGCATAAAACTGATTTATTCTATATAACTTTTAAAAGTGAGACAACAGGAAGAAAAAAGAAATTTAGACCACCACCTACATCTAGTCCTGATGTTCTTATAAATTGCATTACAATGTTAAATTTTGCCACAACTTTTAAAATTAAGGTATTGCTTTACACAATGACACTCAAAAAAACTGAGTTCCCAATTCTCAATTTAAAACATCCTAGTAAGTTGTTTCTTCTAAGCTTAGTAGATTAGCACACTATACTACTACTTAGATGTATATTTTAAGCTTTTGGGAAATGTTACTTTGGAACTAAAATTCATATAGTCAACTTTTAGTATAGTTGATACAATAAGTGATATCCTAGTAACTTTGAAAGTGATCATTTAGTTCATGTCTTTGAAGAACATTACACATTAAAACAATATAAAGCAAAGTCCAGGTCTTTATCAACTTTATGTCACCCACTCAATGAAGCAATTGCTCACAGAGAAGTGACTGCACCCAGTGACTCCTGCGTGGACAGTGGGCAGCTGCACGTGCCAAGAGCTCACCAGGCAATGGGCAAAGACTGAAAGCATATAGCTTGGCTCTCTGAGATTCTACTGTCCACCTCAGGAATAACAACAAAAGGTTAGTTGGATGTAACATGGGGCCATAAAAGTTAAAAGCAGCACACTGGGAGACATGGGAAGGGCATCAGGCCCAGTCTAAGGAGATAAACTTAAGACAGGAGATTGGGAACCACGAAACAGCAGTGTCAGCTAATGAACGTGAGTGGGGAGAAGAATACTGCATTCCAAACAAGAGCCAAGACTCAAGGGTGTTTATGTAAAGACAAAGGACAAAATTCAGGTGAGATAATAGGGTTTTCAGATAAAGGGCTGGCTGGGTGGGAAGGTATTAAGAGGCCTATGACATGCTACAGAATTTTAGATTTTACTCCACTGGTAAGTCTGTCTGGACTTAGAGGCAAGAAAATGACATTTCTCTGAAGCATCTCTCTCTCTGCCTGCACAGTGGGTGATAATGGCAACAGGTAAACAAAATGGGAGATTGGAACCTGATTTCTTCCCAGCAAGAAACCATGAGGCAACTGAATGAATGACGTGATAAAAGACAGGGACTAACATCATAGGAATTCATGGCTGCTTCCAAATAGGAGTGGGAAATAAAGTGGGGCCGTCCTGGAACTCCCAGACTTCTCACTTGGATGAGAAGTGCTGTCAGTACAACAGGTAGAGAAGAAGGAAAAGAACAGTTCTTTACTTTGCAAAGTCTCCAAAAGGATGCATACTCTGTAGGAAGAGCTCCTATCCTCTAGGCCACTCAACCTGTCATTCCACGTTTCTTATGGCTTTTCTTCCTCTCTAACAAAGAGTCAACAGCTGCCAATTATTTCAGACCTTGTGTCTGATTTTCTTAAAGTTACCCATTACCAAATGCTTAGGATACTTAACTAATTATAGCATTACACAGACCTATGCTAAATATAGATCAAACTACTACAGTCATCAAAATGGTCTTAATTAATAATCACATTCAAAATCAATGTACTGATTATGAAATCAAACTACCAGTTTCTTATCTTTAATACTTCAAATTAGAACACCACACCTAAGTAGTTCCAAGTGGCTGCTACTTTGTTACCTTTGAGGGACATCTGCTTTTGGCCAAAGTTAATATGCTGAACTTACCAGATTACATTATAACGCATTTTTTAATTTTCACACAGCCAGGAGTCTTTTCTTCTTTGCTGACCTTGTTCAATCTGTATTGTCGGATCTCTCTCACCAATGTATAAAAAGCATCCTCCACTCTCTGCATTGTAAAACACAACTTCTTTAAAGTCTGTTTCTTAGGTAAGATAATTTATTGGGGTAGCCATTTGTAAGAAGTTTGAGATTATGAGCTTTGCTTGAGGATTTTTCTTAAACAGACATCAGACTGAATAAAATTGAGGATGCAGTTTTAAAATATGGGCTAGAATCTGGTTTGTTTGTAAGTCAGTTTTATTTTCTGCTGGAATTCATTTTTTAAAATTTAATTAGAATTAGGGGAGATTATGAAAACCCTGAATAAATATTTAACTATCTCTTTATCAATTAATACATTTTAGTTGGCCAGTCGTGGAATAAAAGTGTAAACTGAGGTTTAAATTTTCCTTTGACTTAGGCAAACAAGTGACTTAGTGTAGCATGGAAGATTCCCAGCCCACACCCACAGTGGGGGAGACACAGCACCCAATGGGGACATGAGCTGTTTTTAGGACACAGATTCATTTGCAACAAAGGAGGCCACAGACCACAATTCCATTTATTCAGACATGTGCAGTCAGTTTGTAGGTCCACGAGGGAGCTGAGACTGGGACCTTTGTGGGTGAGGATTATACTACTATTTACATTAGGTGTTCAGTAAGGGCTGTTTACCAAAATAGTAAAATGTCTTGAACTATTCAAAGTATAAGCACAAAACAGGAGCAAGGCATTTTTATATCCTTACTACCTACAGGTCTTAAGAATAATTTGCAGAA